TAACATATTTTTCTTGTATTTTTGTGAAGGACAGGAAGAAACTGATAAACAAGGATAAATGTTTAGTGTAATCGCCTAATCGGTTGTGTACCTAATCGATTTGCTAATTGTTTAAAAGAAAACGATATAAAAATATTAAGCGTAGAATTTGAGAATTGTCTATAAAGGATATTATTTAATTAAGCTTCTTGAAAGCGTGAAATGTTCGTTGAAATGGTAAAATTTACTAATATGTGATCTAGTTCTAAAATGAATAACATTTCAAAATTGAGAAAACGTGGTCCAACTTTCAATTCGTTGAATGTATGTTGAAATGATATTTTTTATATATTGCTAAAATGATGTATGAAATTTAAATACGATATATTTTGAAATTTGCGATGTGGGGTTCTAAAATAAACCTCAAAACGCGTAAAATGAGAATATTTTGAACAAAATATTAAAAGTATTAATAAATTTAAGTATTTTAAAACGATGTTGTTGAAAAATGGAAAAAATTAAAATCTAAAAATTGTGGGTCTCAAAATTCGGGTCTAGTACGCTCCTTTCCTGCTACTGTAATTTTACGGGGTAAGCCCCGCCGCCATTGCAATTGGTTGACGTACCATTCGTACGAATGTACAAGTTTTTGTGAAAATTTTATTTTCGGTATGTCACAATAGATTTATTAGTTTACTTAAATCGGTTCCTAAAGATGCATAGAAGATCAACAATAGATTTTCTATGACATACCTTTTACAAATCGCAAAAGAAAGTTGAAAACAAGTTAAAAAGTTACAAATTGCAAACGCACGTACATACACGTTCAGTTTATTTGTATATGTAATTATTGAATTTGTGAGTAAAAATGCTTCAAATGATTTTTAATAAAGTTTCTTTAATCCCAAATAGTTTTTTACAACAACGCTTTTTTAACTTAAAATTCTTGTGCTGGACTCGAACCGGCGACTTCTTGGCTTCAAGTGATGAACCCGAAAGTGCTTGAACTTGTTAGTAGAAGTGCCTTAAATGATGTTCAATACTGTTTCTGCAATCTTCAATAGCTTTGTTCGACAGCAAATTGTGACAAAAAAATATCTCTGAGCCAGTCTCGAAACGGCGGCCCTTCTCCACGAAACGCTGAGACCGAATTCCACACTTAACCACTTCGGCCACCCGGGTTATACAGAGAATCGGCACTTCTATAATAGTCATAAGCGCCAAAAGACAACAATTGATTTGACGGCTCATACTGTAACGTTTCTCAGTGGTGAATTAAAACTCACTCACAAGTATTTACGCAAAAACGTTTATTCGTAAACAATTCTACACTAACTACTACCAACACTAAAAACTACCTGATCTATATACAGGTATATTACACAGTCCTTGTGTTCTACACTGAATTACTTTTTCTTTCACACGACTCCATTCTCTTTATTATTTATTCACACAGTTCTCTTCTTATACACTATTTATTTACACAGTTCACTTCTAATTATTTATTTGCACAGTTCACTTCTACTACACTATCGCAGTCCGAAGCACTGTCCACGGTCCACTGCGCAGACCACACTTCAGTGCATGGCTGTTTACCGCGATGTACACTTTACAGCTCAGCTTCCACTGCAGACTTCAGACTGCTGACTGCTGTTCAACCACAGCACCACTCTTCACCGCAATGCACACTTCACAGCACAGCTTGCACTTCAGACACTGACGGACTGACTGCTTATTCACTGATTAATACACTAACTCACTCTGACACACTAACTTACTCTGACTAACTTCTTACTGACTGACTGCTACTGACTCACTTGCGGCCGCCGTCAGCGGTGCATTTATACCTGGCCGGCGCTCGTCTAGATACACCCGGCACATACTTCGCTTTTTTCCCCACAACTCGCGAATAGTCCGGAATAGTCCAGTTCGGGGGGAAGGGAAAGGGGCGCCGGCAGATGACGCAATCCGGCAGGTGATGCAATATTCGTTACAATACATTTTACAAATCCAATAAGAGGTGGAAAATTGTTTAAAAGTTATAAATTCGAAATTCACATACAGTTCTAGTTTATTTATCTTGATTAATACTATTTACGATTAGAATTGCTTCTAATGGATTTAATAAGTTTGTGGAATTCTCAATTATTTCCTGTGGTAACAGAATTGTCACAAATAATAATTCCCTGCCAAGACTCGAACCAGCGAAATTCCCTCCGAAGAGCTGGCCCACAAATTTAGCCTCTTGTTGGGACATGATATAAATCCTTCTATAATAGTAATAAGTGTATTGTTGTTTCTGTTATAGCATTACGAGACAAGTAATTGAGAAAATGTGAAATAAAATTGTATTTCGGGCGTCTGAATGAAAGCAGCCGTGAAGAGAATGAGGCTTGTCGCAAAAGCTAGTCAAAAGTACAGATTTGAAAACTAACTAGGCGAGAAAGTCTGTGCCATTGTATGGCACCACTAGTTTATTTATTATTTATTTAATTATCTAATTTTCTACAACACTTTTTCTGAGGGCAAAAATTTCTTCAATTTTGTCGTTTTGAATTGTTTTCAATTCTCGAAAAAGAACGAGCAATACCCGGATATGGAACTAGCACCATATTTCTTACTGTTCCTTATTACATATGTGGACAAAATTTAAAGAAACAATTTGGAGCAGTTTTTGAGAATTTTCCCCCGTTCATTTCAAACTCAAATTATACAAAAACTACTCGTTTTTTCAAAAACTTCAATATGACATTTTTAAAGAGGTACTTTTGAAGAACAGACTTTGCGTAAGACTTATCTTCAATCTTCAATTTTGTACTTATATTTTAATTTTTTTCGAAAAAATCTGAGCAATACCTCAAAATAGGAGTTGCACCATATTTATTATCGTCCTTTACTACATAGGTGCAGACAATTGAAAGAAAAAAATGAGAGCAGTTTTTGAGAATTTTTTTCGTCAATTTCAATCGCAAATGACGCAACAACTAACTTTCACAAAAAATGTACATGACTTTTTTAAAGATCTAATATACAACAAACTTTGTCTGAGCCAAAGATTTTATTCATCATTTTGAGTTTTAAATTTTTTCCCATTTTCGAAAGTTCAGCGATATCACCAATAATGAGACCTGCACCATTCTCTTGAATGTCTTTCGTACTATTGAACAAAATCATTTAACAAAAAATTTGGAACTATTTTTTTTTAAATTGAAAATGTCGGAATGACTTCATGTAAAGAACCCCCCAAAATGAAAATATCAGTTTCAAATTCCAGGGACCGTGATATAAGATAGATCGATTTAGGAATATCAATATTAAAGAAAATCTGCTGAACGGTTTAGCCGCTAGCGTTGACCTCACATGGACAGATACATGGACCGGCGGACGTTCTACCGTCAATCCATTTTTCGCTATCAAGAACTGACAAAACATGGATTCTGGCTACAACACGAGTTAGAGGATTTTTTCTAATTTTAGCAACAGGATTTATCCATATTTTCGTTTCCAGAGCCGAGCTATAAGATTTTTTCTGGCGAAATTTCGTCGTTTTTCGGCGCATGAATAAATAACTTTCTTTTCTTACGAAGAATTCGTAAGGCGAGAAAGTAAAAATCAATGATTTCCACGAATCTGTCCCTTCAGCACTCTTTACGCTAATCTAGGACAAAGTTCAATAAAATATTTGAATCTATTTTTGAGAAAAGTCAAGTAACATCAAAAATCAAAATATCCTGTTAAAACTCCCAAAGCCTAGAGATCGTTTTCATCGATCGGGGAATATCAATTTTAGCGAAAATCGGCTGATCGGTTTAGACATAAGCGTTGACCATACAGAGTCAGACGAACGTTTTGCCGTCAGTCGATTTTTCTGGGTGAAGAATCTACAGTATATGGATTATGTCTACACCACGCATGAGAAGACGTTATTTACTATATCTAGGAAGAAGATTCATCCACATTTGCGTTACCAGGGCCCAGTAATAATATTTTTTTTCTTCCGAGAGAGTAGAGCTAGTTCCGGCTGGGGCGGACCTGCTGGTGAGAGATACCTGCTTGGGGAAAAACCAGCTGGCCGACGGTCGGCGCCGGATCTCTCCATACAGCAATGGAAACATAGCAGCCACTTGCCGTGCAAAATCATGCACCACACGTACGGTACTAATAACTCTGGAGCTGACGTGGCCGAAATCGCTAAAAATATCAATCAATGAATCTTTCGAAACTTCACCGCATTCCATAGCACGTTTACGTAACTTCCTCTTCTTACGAAGTAAGTGTAAGTAAAAATTATATGTTGGAAGTTGCGTTGGAGCATGTAGCGCATGCGTTTTTACGAGTATATTTCGTAACCGTTACAAATATGGCGAAATACTATGTGTTTTTTAGGACCACTAGTTTGTCTTAATTGGAGCAAGATTATAAGCGGATTATAAAAGTCCTTGAGATATTGGTTTTGAATATCCTGGTTTTAATTTCGTTTTGAACTCTATTACATAGTTAATACAAGAATTAAGAGACGCCAAGAATAGTCAGTTGACGCCAAGAATTGCCTAATACTGTTTCTTTTTCATACTTAGAAAACATCTGGAGCTTCGTTCTCTTGTCAGATGTTTATATTAAAAAGTGCCGACAAATGTTTAGTTGTAGACGCATGTACCCTGGTTGATGAATGGTATATTGAAGTTTAAAACTGTCTTCCTGGTTCATGAAGATATTGGAAAGCATGTTTCCATACCTTCGTCTGCAACCGTTAAAGACATCATCTGTAGTGTAGACATAGTGAGCAAAGAATCCTCTTTCACGGTTCGTGGATGAGCGCAGTCATCTATCTCTACGTTGTGTCCACTCCGCCATTGAGTACATATACCATAGTTGTAGGCGAAACATCTGAGAACATGCTTTCCAACAGACTACGACCCCTCACCAGAATTGTCTGACACCAGGAGGGAAGTCACCAATAGGCTTTAGGAACCTATCCTTCCTCCAGTCTTGAGAGGGGGTCACAAAGCGTGGTTTTGCAGCGAAGGGGACAGCGCGTGGGTGGAGCGAGAGCTGGTGCCCGCACTAGAGATGAAAGCAGGGCTGCGCCTCTGCCTGCTGCAGCGGGACTTTTCTCTCGGCTCTCCCTCTTTACACAACTTTAGCCTGGCGGTGTGTGCGAGCGGCTGTGTCCTCGCGGTGCTTAGTCACCATTTCCTAGAAAACCAGGTAGGGCCATGAAAACAATTTCCTTTTCAACTAATTTATTCTAGATATTTCTACTACCACTCTCAGACTTTAAGTTGAGACCCACTGAGTGAAGTCACACTCACAAGTTATCACTCTCACACATTAAATAATTGCATGTATACCACAGCTTACTATTCCCATCGGCTGACCTTCTTAGAACTTATACATAACTTCATTTGTCAAGTTCTTGCTCGGCATCGCCAGAATGATCAAATATATGTATTTTAGCACTTGCTATAATGTAAATGCTTTTATTCCATTTTCAAACTAATTAATTTCATTGAAAGAAAGTAGTACGCCATTTACATTTTTCAATGTTGGGGACTCAATCACGGCGTTCATTTAATGGCATTGTTCTCGTGATATGTCAGGTAAGATTGAACAATTCAATTGAAGAAAACCCGATCAAGTTTAACAAACTCATTTATTGCAACTTAAACATTATACACTAATGGTGCTACAGAACGGCGACATTTTTATACTAGTTAGTTTCCTAATCCCTATCGTCTGGGTTTTCTATTTTGCTTACATCTCTCATCGTAAGCTTCCTGTTAGCGTCAAAAAATATATTTCGCGATTTTAAATATTGTTTTCTGTTTCCTAGTTGCAGAATAGAACTTACTTATATTACATTACAACAGAATATTTTAGCACTAAATTTCGTAGAGCGATCCCAGTAGCGTGTGTGCTTACTACTTTCAAGCACATTCTGAGGCACATATTTATAATACGGCACGGAAGTGGCGAGTAAACCCGTTCTGCAATGCCAAATAATTAGTGGAGACTGCTTCGCCACTTCATCATGCTCTTTTTGTATTCCAACTGTGCGTGGCTGCTGCATCCACTTGTCACGTGTTGGATAGTTTCGCTGCAGCCTCACATCTTCTACACGAGTGCGGAATGAATGGTAGAATCTCTCAAGAAAATGTGTTTTTTTGTAGTTCATATGTTGGTACCACTTGGGTCTTGGATAGCTATCATGAAGCTCCGGGTAAGAGATCCCCGTGCTGTGAGGCCATGCGTGCGACGTCAGTGATGTCGACTTATGATTTACTCAGCTCGTGAGGGTACTTGCCATGCCATGCTTCGCTTTCTATAAGGTTACTTTCTTCCGTTTCAATGATGTTGAACTCAGGCGGGATCAAGCTTTTTTAAAGTTCAACGGACTATGGTTATTATCAACTGCGCTCACTGCTTCTGGAACCGCCCACAATGTTCCAGAAGTATCTTCTTGAGTGAAGCAAATTTGAGAGCTGTGGTAGATTTTATGAGATCTACAATACCTTCGCCCTCCTTGCGGACCTTTGGGAAGAGTAAAACGCTGCATAACTTGAATGGGGATGATGTTTTCCGGTGTTGAGCCATAGCGGTTCGAATTTGTCCTCTGGAGTTGTCAAGGTTCGTTTGCTCCATTTAATAACGCCAAAGAGAATGCCTAGTACTGGAATAACAAACGAATTGATGGCCTGCACAAGGTTTCTAGGGCAGAGAATTGCAATTTTTAAGAAGTCCATGCGAATCCTTTACACACTTTCAGTTTGTTAGTAATGTTCTTAAAACAGTGCTGTTTTGAATTCGGAGTGATGTTGAAAACTCAAGTATTTGTAAGTCTATTCATGGGGGTTCAAGAAGGTAGTCCTTTGGGTTCATTATCAGTTTCCCAATTTATAACTTGGCATATCGAACCCGGAATGATATTCACTCTCCTGCACTTATCCAAACGAATTTCATCTTGAGGTCGTTCAGTGAACTTCTCTGTTTCAGCGTTCATTAGTTGCCGCAATATGACTCTCAGTGTCTACATAGAGCTTCAGGTTCATCCCTGTAAAGAAGATGTGAGACACGAAGAAGAGTGAGTTCCTCTTTTAAGGAGCGATTTCCATAATTAATAATTAATGTAGAGTAGACAAGCGCTTCAAGGCTTAAACAGAAAACAATAAATGGGTTAAAGAGTCACCATGGAAAATCCCTCGGCGGATGTGTATAGTATTTGGTGGACGGATTGTTTTCCATTAAAGAGATACAATTTGTATTCCATCGACTCATCGCGATTTCAGGAAAGGTTTGGAAAAACGGGTGGGACCTGTATACATTCCAAACAATTGAAGGAGCCAAGAATGGGGCACGGTGTTCGAATGATTTCGAGTAATTCTATTAGCCTGTGTAAAAGTTTCCTTTGTTTTTTTCCAAGCACTTTGCCACATAATTACAGAAGTCTATAATGAGTTGGGCTCCTTTGCAAATCTCTGGATCCAGGTCTGCATCCTTTCTGTTTCATATTTGCAAGATGGTTTTGTTCTTCATATGTGTTGTCATCATCATTTGTGAAACACAAGATGTTATGGAGTTTTTTAAAACGTTTGAAGGCATGTTTAATAGGCTGTATTCGAGGGGTCTTTAAGTGTCTTCCCTTGCCTTTGGTTAAACAAGAATGTTCTACCCTTCAGTGAGGAATAAGGTAGATT